GGTTGGAGCACTTAACGCATCCGAGGAAGGGTCGAACGAAGCACTTAGTGGCACGGGTTCAGGGCGATCCTAACACTTAATGCAGTCGAGCTGGAGCCAAAGTAGTCCGGAATTTCAGGGCATTAAGGGCATATGCCCGTCAATCGACAGGCCTGGTTCTGTCGTGAAACTTTCATCACCCTGCTCAAATAAATTCACGTTCAGTGCAGTTTGTACCAACAAAAGAATATTGTGGGTTGAAGTTCAAACGATTGGCGCAACTTCAGTGCAGCAATCAGCGCAACTTGCGCAACCATCAGCGCTATCATCAGCGCCATTTATCGGCGCGACCTTTAGCGCACCATTAGCGAAACGATTGGCGCAATTGTCAGGGAAGCAATAAGCGGTATCACCGACTTGACTATCAGCGCAACTATCAGTTCCTAGATCCGCGCAACGAGAGGCGTTCGACGGTCATCGCGTTGAGCTAGCCTAAGAGACGTTCGACGTTAGCTGGAAGTATTTTTCCTTTCTCATGGCTCGTCGTAGATGTTGTCGCGTCTCTAAGGTCTTCTTTAGGGTCTCCGATTGTCACTGGTTTCGATGACTACATAAGCGGAATTCGTTTTGCATGATCGTCATCGTAGCTGTTAACATCTCGACTGAAGGAAGAAACGAATGAAGAAGGATCACATGGTAGGTCATGGAAGGAAGGGTTCTTGTAGGTCTCCGTTGTCACCCAGCTACCACCAGCCCCTTAACTCCCTTAACGCCCGCGGCACCTCCCACCCATCTCCGCTTCTGCATCTCCTTCAACCCCCTCTTCCCGCACCTTCCCACACCTTCTTCAGGCAGAGAGTTGCGATCTTACCAAGGTAGAAATCAGGCAGCTTATAAAGGGTACAAGGAAACGTGGCAGTGACCAGATACACCTGTGGATGCGCAACCGGGACAGCCATTGTGTTTGAGGTACGTTCTTTGAGTGATGGTGGGCGTTGGGGGTTCCAGGGTATGTGACAGACAGTCACATAGTAAGCACCCTGCGGATCACCTTTGAAGTGCGTGTGCGGCTGCTTCCCCCCCTATCCATGAATTCAAACCTAACCCTCTCTCCCCCTCCTCCCCGCGCCACGAACCTTTCTCGCCAGGACTGCGTCACAGACGGCCCCTTTGTGATAACTCCACGCATTTGTCAATGTCACCTTCAAAGTGAGTGTGTGGCTGCTGGGGGGCCTCGTAGTGATAACCCCGCGCATCACCTTCGAAGTGAGTGTGTGGCTGCTGGGGTGCGTCGTAGTGATGATCCTGCTCATCACTTTCAAAGTGAGTGTGTGGCTGCTGGGGTGTCGAGGAAGCTACTCATTGAGAGCAGTCAATATCTTGAAGTCGTGTGGACACATGCAGTAGCGCGTGATGTCGCTCGTTAAGAGCTCAAATATACGTTGAGAAGGGCTTTCGCTCTTCTATGAGGTCAAATGTACCCTGTTGCTACTGCCCGCTTCATTCCGCTTGCTTCGCTGTGATCGCTTCGTCGGTTTGGCCAACAGACCGGCAAACGCGTCGACTGCTGCGGAGGAATGTAATTTACCCTCGTTAAACCTTATTCCCGGTAGTTCATACGTGTCGCTGTTAGTTCTTCCGTGTGCCATTTGCCTTGTGCGCGTATTTACCCTAAACCCGTTGGTACGATGTGTGTGCTGCTTGCCTTGCAGCGATCAGGAGGAGGCGGGAGAGGAAGGCGAGCCCAATCAGGCCAATGGAACGGCGGAGGGAGAGGCCGTTGCTGCTGAGGGCGACGCTGCTGCGGGAGAGGCTGCCCCTGCGGCAGCCTCAGCGGGAGTGAGGTAGGAATGAGCGAGAACGCGCGTAGAATGGGGGGTGCAATGAAGCAAGAACGACGTAAGAGGGGGAAGAGAGCAAAGAAACGAGTGAGGCAGTAAGCTAGGAAAGGGGAAGGGGGAGGGGCGGAGAGACGGAGGGAGCGAGAACAGTGCGTGAGGGAGAGGGGTAGGGCGGCTTACGAGATCGGCTAAAAACAGCATCGTTCTCATCCGCGACTTTCTTGTGCCGCGCCATGCGCGCCATGTCAAGGGCGAAGCGAGCGAGGAAAGGAGCAAAGGAGGGAAGGAGTGAGGGTTCAGGGCAGTGGAGGCGTGGACCAACGCACGAGGCACGGAAATGGTAGTCACCGCACGAATGGAGAAAGAATAGGAAAAAAATTACGGGGTATGATTGCAGCCTCACCTTGTCCTCCTCTCCCATCCTCCCATCACTCCCATTTCAGACTGTCAACATCAACGATTTCCTCAAGCCAACAGACGGCAGTACCTTCAACCCCCGGCGCTCAGGCGGCCGTGGTAGCAAGCAATGTCATGGCTATGGTGGATGGGAAACACCGATACGCGACATGATGTGGTTTCGCATGGCGTGGCATGCCATGGCGTACCATGCCGTTGCATAAGATGTTTTGTGGGTATGCCATTACATAGCATGCCGTTTACATAAGATGCTCTGGGGCATGCCATGCATGACAGGATTTGGGTGCTCCAAGGACATCCTGTGGTGTGGGTGGGATGCCATCTGCAGGCCCCACTTGTGTATTGTCATTGTACTGGTATAATAGCCCACTTGTGACGGGTGCAGGTTGGAAAAATGCTTTCTGGGGTGCTCTCTACTTTACAATACACCATTGAGACAGAGATGATTACAAGCTGAATACTGGTTCCTTGACATCGCATAGATCATGTGGCACAGATTCAGAGTTGGTACCGCACCTGCTGGAACATTGAATGCAATGTTATCGGTGGACTACCCATAATGCACCACATGTACTGCATGCCTAAGCATACAGAAAATAGGACAAGACTGTATTGAAGTGAGTTGTTCGTTGTACGCGGTAACAACTCTACTGTTGTAGAGTTCAAATTCGTGTCGGGACCACAAGTGAATGTTACAGTGGAACTAGTTGATATGATTGCTTTCGAAAATGGTGGTGTCAACGCCGGCTTTCCTTTGATTGATGCAGCCTTGCAGCCGGCCGCAGGATGTAATTGGTGGACAGAATTCCTGTCACTTGCTGCTGACGCGCTCGCCATTCAGCAGTCGCAATTTTCCTTCTCGATGCGCGTTAAGTGGGGGACTGTGTGCGCTTGACACCCACTCGCTTCATTACATTCGGGTGACGTGGCAAACCAGATTACCTTTCGAGATTCCGGCCCGGTCAGAGCAGCCGGAATTGGTCTGTAATCGCAAAGAGTAATGACGTAACCGTCGCAGTTAGTGGCGAACGCAGTCCAAATTGCTTCGCAAAGTCGCCTAATTGCAATGAATTATGCGATGCCAATCACGAATTTATCAGACAGGGCAAGGCAACCAAGCGGACAAGGAGGCTGAGCGGGACACTGGCTTAGGCGGGCTTTGCGGGCCACGCAACAGTTGGGGTAGGCTAGCCCAGTCGCCCTCGCAAGAAAGCTTTCTCAACGATTGGATGAGCTTCAGCGACAGCGCGCCTTGTTCGTTCAGCAGCTTGCGAAATCAGACGAGCGGCCAGGTTCAGCTGTGGACCAGCCAGCCCCCTTCCACCACAAACGCAAAACTGACTGATCCAAGCAAGCAACACTATTCTGTGATTCACTGTCACGACTCGCGTCATGTGTGGTTTAGGGGGTGTCCGAAGTGAAACGTCGACATCCGCTGACATCCGTTTGGGGATGTCGATGAATATCAGCCCTCGGATCGGGGATTCCGACCGTCATGATTCGCCGACATCCGCCGACATCCATCGACGTTTCACCTCGGACACGCCCTTAGGAGAACTGAATGCGGTGAGGTGACTATTTTGGGCAGAGAGCAGCAACTAGACGGCACAAGTGAAGCCAAGGCAGGCGACAGCTGTAGTTGGCTGCGTGGCTGGATTGACATGACAGAGTCTTGCAGCGTGTACGCTCACGCAGACGTCGATTTTATTTCATATGAGTGGACCTAATCCAGCAAGGGCCCCGCTAACCGCCGAGTTTCAGATTTTATTGCCGAGTCTGTGGAGCACAACGCCGTGCGACAGACCCCGTCCGCCGTCAGCGTCGCACCGCGCGGTGTGAGTTCGCGACGAGCTCGTTTAGTCCAGGCGATCCCGAGCGAGCATCAGCGAGAGAGTTTCAGGTTTCAAGTTGTTAACTATATCAGTCCGACGAAGATTCTTCGTGTACTCAAGTTGAAGAAAGGGTACTACTCACTATTACCTCCTCCTAATAGCGTTTCCTTCGCCTAAAGCATTTAGTGCATGCCCCCCGGCGGACTGTTATAATTCTCAGTATCAGAGCTTCGCAGCGACTGGATCAAAGTAGTCTGACTCGGAGAGAGGCATTGCAAGATTGTAGCAATTTATCATTTCAAGATTTCCGATTCGTCTTTATTCGTCTGTTCCTCGCGCGCTTGAGACATTGTGTTTACATAGTACTTGCGCCGAACAAGTTGTAGTAGTACTGCCCTGGTTTTTCTGTCCGGCGTTTCATACTCGAAATACGATCGAGGAAGCTAAGCCGTCCGATCATGTTCCTTAGAACTAAACCAGATCGGCGGTCGTGGATCGGCCGATCGGGGGGGGAGCGGTTAAGGAGGACTTGGTAACCAAAGAGGCGCGGCGCCGCGGGCTCGATGCATCGCTTTCTTAGCAACAGAGAGGGCTCTAGGCTCATTATCGCATTTTATCTATTTTTCGTTAGGTCTTATTGGTACATATCGTTGATGGGCCACACAGGCGACGAGAAGGAATCCTGATTTTAACTACTAGTAGTACTAGATTCTGACATCGTTGCGCCGTACCATCCATTCCCATGAGCTCCCACGGACCTTTCCTCTCATGCTTCAACCAATCCCCGCACGCGGCGCTAGTTAATTCGCCGCCAGACTCGCCCACAACGACGATTGCCGTCGTCGCCGAGCGACCGCTGTGCGACGACTCGACCGCGTCGCCCGAGGATGTGCGACAAGGGGACGGAGCTGTGAGCACGATCGAGGCGCAAATGCACAGCAACCCGGCCGTCGCAACGGAGCCAGGCTCGACAAGCGATCGCGCTGCTGGTGCAAGTCACAATCCTATATACGAGCCGTTTTTAGGCTTCAGAGAGTATGACGTGGATTGGATTACTGCCGCCACGTGGCATTTCTCAAAGCGCTGTATCGTCAGCCAAGGATGGGACTCCACAGTTTTTTCCATACCTGGGCAAAGGGTAGCAGGCTATGAAGGGGGCTCGGCGGGAGGCTTGACAGGAGGCTCGGCAGGAGGCTCGGCAGGAGGCTCGGCAGGAGGTTCGGCAGGAGGCGCGGCAGGAGACTCTGCAAGAGGGTCGGTGGGAAGGTCAAACGGCTTGAGGGTGAAGCGGTTTGGCGGCCAAGGCTGTTCGCTCTCGAGGGAAGCCGAAGCTGCCTTCCAGGTACGGGTAGACCGAAGCGAGCTGTTTTCTCGGAGCTGGAAAAGAGGAGAATTTGCCAGAGAGAAATAATCATGGAACCCTAACCCTAGCTTTCTTGCTTAACGCAACCGAGTGAATCTTGTGACCTAATCTCCTCATTCCGTGTCTACTTCACCCTTCTCGTTCCCCCCCACTGCCCACCCACAACCCCCCTCAAAACACCCTCCACCCTGCTTCACCTTTCTCCCTTCCCCCCATGTTCCCCCTTCCCCCCTTCTTCTACCCCCCCCTTTCCCCCGTTCCTCTTCCCCTCCCCCCCCCCCCCTTGGTTGTGGCCTATCAGGAACATGCTCGTGCTCTCTCACGCCTCTCCCATCCCTCCCTCCTCCCCCTCGTCGGCTACTCTCCCTCCCCCACGCCCTCACTCCTCTTCCAATCCGCCCCCGGCCCCGCTCACCCTCACCTACCGCACTCAACCGCTCCCACTCCCCCATCACCTGCGTCAGCAGCGGTCTCACCTGCTGTTCCGGCTGCATCAGCTGCTGCAACTGACCCAGTTTCAACCCACACAGTGCCTCCTCCTCTCCCCTGTCCCCTCTCCATCGCTCTCCCTCACACCATCGCCCCTGCCACCGACGGGGGCGATGGCCCCAGGGGTTTCGTCGAGAGATCCTCGCCGTCGATTCCGCAGCCCAAGCGTTTCCGCAATGGAGGCTTTGCCCGGAGCCGTCTACCCACCATCCCCAGTATAGGCAGCATCAGTAGCAGCATAAGTGGCAGTAAACGTGGCAGCAGAAGCGGCAGTATAAGTGGCAGCTTAAGTGGCAGTTTAAGTGGCAGTGGCAGGTCGTTGCTAGGAGGGAGTGGGAGGTCGCTTGGTGGGGGGTCCGGCATAGGGGGGAGTGGGCGATCGGGGGCAGGAGGCAGTGGGAGGTTGGTTCTAGGGGGTAGCGGGCGATCGGGTGCGGGAGGGAGTGGGAGGTCCCTTGGTGGTGGCAGTGCTGGGTGCTTCTCTGGAAGAAAAGAGGATAGTGATGATGATAATGGTGATGGTGACGATGAGAAGGAGGAGGATGAGGAGGAGGAGGATGATGAGGAGTCTTCGGAGGGGAGGAGTGGAGGGAGTGAGGGGGAAGGAGGAGAAAAGGCGAAGGGGAGATCGAGTGGTGAAAGCGGCAGTAGCGGTGCTGGCCCTGCGATTCTAGAGTGCGATGAGTCACCTGCACAAGAAGACCCGGCCACACCAAGGGACTTGGCCACACCAAGGGACTTGGCCACAGTAGAGGATTCGAGCACGTCTGTCAGACAAGGAGAGTATGTGGGAAGAGGAGCAACTACCATACTTTCTGAGGGAGGTGCAGCAGAGTTGGCGCGTTCTGTAGGCTCGGCGGTGCAGGAAGGTGGCAGTGCAAGGAGCGGAAGAGATGCTGCTGCTAGTGGTAGCAGTGGTAGGGGTGATGTGGCTAGTGGGAGTGTTGCTAGAAGGAGTACCGAGGCTGCTATAGGCGGGGATAAAAGCACCTTTCCTGATCCTCCAAGGCCTATTGGTAGAGTCTCTGCTGACCTGCTTGCTGCTGCTGCAGTCCTAGCAGCTACCACTCAAGAGAGCAACGATGAGGAGAGCAATGATAGAACAGATGGCAAGGATGGTGAAAAGGATGGTGGCAATAGCGATGCAAGCGAGGATGGTGATGACAGTGGCAGCGGAAGCAGTGGTGAAGGTGGTGGTGCAGGAGATTCACATCCCCTCTCCCCCTCCCGCTGCTGGCCCCACATATCCACCCCGTCCCTCTCTCGCTCCCTCACTCGCTCCTTCACCCGCTCTTCCCGCTCTTCCCGAAGTGCTAGAGCTTCAGAGCAAGCAGCAGCCGCCGATTCGTCGCTCCCCAACCCTACCACCACACCCCCCACCACCCTTGCCGGAGCTGGCCCGTCAGGCTCGGACCGAACCTCCGTTCCAGGCTCGGGAGGCATGGAAGAGGCTTGGAAGGGCGTTAAGAAAAGGATGGAGGGGTGGGAGGCGCGGTTAGACGTGCTCGTGCAGGTGGCAGGGGGGTTGGCATACCTGCACCGGCAGGGGATGGTGCATGGGTCCTTGGGACCTGCTAATGTGCTGCTGTGGGAGAAACGTGAGGGTTTGAGAGATGAGTGGGTGGAGAGAGGTGGGTCAGAGAGGTTTAGTGGGGGTGCATCTGGGGCGATGGAGCAGGTAACGTCTGGAGGGGTAGCAGTAGCTGGAGCAGCAGCAGGAGCAGCAGGAGCAACTGCAGCAGCAGGAGCAGCACGAGGAAGCGGGGAAGGAAGAGGCGTGAGTCTGGCAGCGGAAGGAAGAGTGTTTGACCAGGGAACGAGAGAGGGAGGTCCGCCCGCAGCAGAAACGTTGTCATCTCCGTCAGGAGCAGCACAAAGGAGCTCCTTGCTGCCTACGAGGGCAGAGAGCGGCGCCCTCTACATGCAAGAAGTAACCGAGAGAGGCGCGGTGGGAGGAGCGGGGAGAGTAACGGAGAGTGGAGCAGAGAGAGTAGCAGAGAGAGGAGCAGAGAGAGGAGCAGAGAGAGGAGCAGAAAGAGGAGCAGAGAGAGAATCAGCGAGAGGAGCAGAGAGAGGATTGGAGCGAGGTGTAGAGAGAGGAACGGAATCAGAAAGAAGCTCGGTGATGCCTGGAGTGGATATCAGCGCGCTGGTAGCCTCGGCCCCGCTAGACGCAGACCCTGTGACGCTCTTCACAGCAGCAACAGGCATCCCCACAGACCGGCCCTGCATGCTGCCCCTCAACAGCAGTCCGTTCAGAGTGGCCAGCGGGCTGCTGGCTGTGATTGCAGACTATGGTATGCCCACGGATCTGAGGCTCAGGGCGCTGTTCCCTGCAAGGAATGCACGGGCGTATGCGAGTGGCGCTGGTTCGATGTACCTGGATCCGTCTCTCAGCCGCCTTGGTAAGCTGAGGGATGTTTTGGCTTACATGGCTGCTTTCTCCCCATAGGCTCCTGCCCCCTTTCCCACCATGGGCTTTAATGCAGCCACCCTTCCCTCCAGTGGCCGCTTCCTTCCTTGCACCTGCTCCCAAGCTTCACCTGCTGCCTTTTCTCCTTTTCTCTTCCAGTTCTGATACACCTCAGAAACCTCTTCTTTCTCCTTCCAATTCGTCCTGTCATTCATCCTGTCTCTCCTTTTTCCTCATCCCATAAACCCGTCTCTCCCATCTGCCAGGCCCCTTCCACCCATCCAAGGACATCTTTCCCCTCGGAAGGCTCATACAACACCTGCTGCTCCCGCTCACCCAGCCATCAACGTCACACCCTCCCCAGACCAACCCCACGCCTCCTGCCTCCTTCCCCCCCGGGTTCTGATTTTGCACGATCTGGGCCGTCCACTTCACGCCTCCTCCCGTCCATCTCGATCTCTTACCGCACCAAACCAAGATTGGATCAGTCGTGGGCAGCGGAAAGAAATGTTTCCGCACAACCGCCCCTCCACGGAACAGCGCAAGCACAAGAAATACAAGCACATGAGCAGGAGATTCAAGCACTCGGGCAGGGGCAGGCGAATAGGCAGGGGCAGGGGCAGGGGCAGGTGCAGGGGCAGGTGCATGAGGGGCAGGGGCATCCGGGGCAGGGCGTATCTCCCGTCCTGTCGCCATCCGACGCTCCTGGACCAAACTTCATGTCGCAGTGGCGGTCCCTTGCTGCTCCGTTCATTGGCGCAGGAGGCAGCAGAGGGAGCGGAGGCGGTCGCAATACCAGCGCTCCTAGTGGTGCTGCTGGTGCTGCTGCTGGTAGTGGTGGTGGTGGTGCTGGTGATATCGGTGGTGGCAGTGTTGTGGGATACTCTGAAAGGTACGGCGAGGGTAGTCAGATTGACGTGAGCAGCCGGAGCAGCAGCATGGTTTATGGTGGTGGTGCAGACATCAGCCGCAGTAGCAGCATGAGCAGGAGCGGGCGCAGCAGCAGCATGCTACGCGACAGCTTGGTCAGCCGGGACAGCAGTATCAGCAGGAGCAGCAGAGGCGGGAGCATGATTCGAGGGTTTGATAGCCGCAGCAGCAGCACCATGTGGGGGACTGACAGCCGCAGCAGCAGCATGATCAGGGGGATTGACAGCAGGAGCAGCAGCATCAGCAGTAACACTACGGGGTTCAGTGTGGGCAGTGGAGTGAGTGTGTGGTCTCCGTGGCGAACACCCAGGAAAACACCTGGGAGATCACCTGGGGGTATACCTGGTAAGCTAGGCAGGGGGTTGGAACAACAGCAACAGGAGCAGCAACAGCAGCCGCAGCAGGAGGAGCAGGGACAGGGGCAGCAAGAGCAGGAGCAGGAGCAGCAAGAGCAGCATGAAGGAATGGTGTCGAGGTCTCGTGGAGCAACCAGTGCTTGGGGCTTCGCTAGGGCGCTCAATGTTCTGCCCTCACGCCAAGCTCCCATTCCCACCACCACCTCTGCATCCTCTGAACCTGCTGCCTCCTCTGCCCAGCCCCCGTCGCTATTCTCTCGAAGTGAGAGCTGTGATTCGGATTACACAGAGGACCTTCCCACCCCCAGTGTGGATGGGGTATCTAGCAGCACTCCAACAGCAGCAGATGCAGAACCAGCAGCCCTGGAGGAGGATCGGCACTCCAAAGGCGAGCCTTCGCGGTTTCAACTGGAATGTGTGAAGAATCTGGTCTTGTGGTGTACACATGCGGATCCGTTATACCGGCCGACTGCCATTGTAGTGGAGCAGGCACTAAGGAGTATAGCGGCGACGCGGCGTGTGGAAGAGATAGGGCACAGGCAGGTGCTGCTGGCAAGACTGAGCAACCTCACCCCGCTCGTGCATGTGGGGGCAGGTGAGACGAATGAAGGCAGCCAACAGCACATGGAGTGGCTGCTTAGTGGCTAAAGCTGAAGGGGTCTCAGCATGTACCACAGGCCAACTTTCGTTGAGGCATGTTTTGGCAGCACTCTTAGCAGTGGGAAGCGACCTCACTCCGCTCGTGCACGCGGGGCCAAGTAGGCGGAGTAAGGCAGCCAGCAGCACATGCAGTGGCTGCTTAGTGGCTAAAGCTGAAGTTTTCAGTGTGCAAGTCATTTTTGTCTTGTTGGGACATGTTTTGGTAGTGCTCCCCTAAGCAGTGGCCAATAATCTAATAAAAATGGAGGTGCAGATGATCCCCCCAACTTGTGCACCGGCAGATAGAGAATGTTCTCTGCAATGCAATGCAATTAACGCTTAGGGAGGATCGTACCGTGGGTTCGACGGGAGCTCCGTTCCTGGTACCGTTAGTGTACCTCATTACTGTAAGTTGCACCCTGCATGCAATACAGTGGATCTTAGTGAAGTCGTTCAGAGGTAACTACCATACATGCGCAAGACGAAACATTGATCCTCATCCAATAAGTACCCCTGTATCCATAATTCAGGCCATTTGAACCAGCCATGGCAAAACAAGGTACCGGTATTGCAGAAAATTTGATGTAGAGAGGAGTGGCTTTAATGCGTCAACCTGCGATGCACCCAAACGTCGGTGGCGTAGCAGGGAACCAAGGACTGCTGAGAATCGCTAACTATTAGGAACCCCTACTTGCTAGGACGCATGGGAAGGGACTCTTTGGTAGCACGGATATTGTCTATCGGCGCTTCTTGGAGGATTTCTTGGATGTGATGGGTGCGAAGACAATGAGGAGAGCCACTGCCACGAGGGAGAGCGCTCCCACCAACGGACCGAACTGAATGGCTAGATCCTGATGAGGGGAAGAGTGGTGACATGGTGGATGGAGACAAGGGTGCAGATAGAGTGCGTTCGTGAGATAACTTGTGGATGAGAGGCTGTGCGTGGATGTGTCAGCAAAATGAGGTTGCAAATTGCAGTGGCAGGATTGTGAGATGGGGTTTGCGGGCATGAGAGGAACTTTGCTTCTATTTTGGAATGGACGGAACGGAACAATCCGAAAAATCCGGGAAATGGGGTGGGAGGAAACATGTGTTGTGGGGGAAATAGCATGGAGTAACCATGCAGAAAAGGGGTAATTTAACTCGGGGTCGTCAGTGCGTACCTTGAGCTGTTGACGATTGTCGGTCCATCAGAACGTGAAGACCATGCCACAAGCACAGTTGTATACAAGGGAGGCAGAGCGGGGAAAATTACGCACGGCAAATTAACAAGAATGGGGGGTTCACTCTACAAAGAATGATACTGATCTTCAATGCTTGCTTGATTCTTCCCAAACATATATCTACAAAAAATGGTATTGATCTTCAATGCTTGCTTTGTTCTTCACAAGCATATAATCTTCCCGAAACGGCGACTCACCCAGAGGTACTTGGCGGCTTGATCCACAGGAGCCAGCAGATCCAGCTCAGGCACGCCCGTCGACTTGGCGGTCTGAAAGAAGCGGATCAGCGAGCAAAACAACACATGCTCGAATTCAGATCGACGGGTAAACCACCAGATTACGTCCCAAAGTCTTCAATGATAACTATTAGCTTTAGATTGTTGTTGATTGTGAGCTAGTATGACTGACCAGAAGCTGAGCCTTAGATGTCACTCGGAACTTGACGGTAGCTGGAGGGGTGACGAAAGTGCCCTTTTCCTTGGGTTTGACCACGTATGTGTGCGAAACGGTTGTTCCCCTGCCACAATGCTCAAGTATACACCGTAGATCGGAGCCACGGAGAGGGTATACAAACTGATTACTTATGATATAAACGGAAAAAGGGTGAACTTCGTGATGATTATTCTGAAATAACAAAGTAAGTGAAAAACCTAATTTCTGAACAAGCTAAGACATAACTTACATGGCAAGGGAGTCCCAGGACTGGGTGGTGTTCCCGACCACCTCGAACAGATCCGACGGCCAGTTCTCGTCGTCCAACGAGACATCGTACGCGATGCTGCGAGCGAAACGGAAAATGAGGGAAAAAGATCAGAAATTTGATTACGATGTGATGAACGATCAACGATGTTACGACATCCAACAAAGAAATTACCTTCCGCCGGCGTTGTAAATCTTGATGTTCACCGAAATGTCCTCATCGTTCTCCTTGATCTTCTTGATCTTGACGGATTTAGCCACCAGCAGGAATGGAACGTCGGCAGCAGATTCGGCTGTCTCGGCGATCGCATTCTGAACGACACACAGGAGGCCGAGTGCTACAAGAAACAGGCTAAGAATTCTCAAAGCAGCCATAGTCGGCACGCCAACGCAACGATCTGTGTGTGAAGGAATTAGCTGACAAAAATCTGAATGAAGAATCTGAATAAAAAAACGATTATCTCGAGGTTCTAGATCGTGGAGGTCCAACCAGGCCCAAGGTCGAGGTGGTGTTGATGGAATGGAAGATTTGGTTGGGCACAGCTTTTGTGGACCGTCTGTTACATCACGGATTTGCGAAAGTCACGAAACTCATGTGGCGGCGAAGTGTAAAACTGTAGCTAGGTGACGTGACGTGACCCACCCTCCATTGAAATTCGTTCGTTCGCTTAGCACATACGGCAATTCGTCATCTTTCGCGAATGTTCAAACCCCAGTCTGACCTCCACTTTCCTGCACGACTCTTCCTCTTCACACAGCATCCAGAGCTCCTCCCTGAACCCTGAACAAATCCCGAGGTCCCCAGCGCATTTCTGGCATTCTTCCAGTGCCCAGCTTAGCTTGCTTGCCTGGCCGCGTTTTGGGTCCTCCGTCTAGATCCAGAGCCGGTAGGCCCTGTACACGTGCGCTTCGGCGGCGTGCACTTTTGCTGTCGTTAAGAATTTTATGGGCTACAAAAAACTGTATGTCATTTTTTTAGCCTCGTACTGGTTTTTATAAGCAGTCTATTCTCTGCTACAATTGTTTTGAATCCGCCCAGCTCAGATCCTGACGCTTAATTGGCTTAGGCAGTCACGGAGTATCGCTCAAGGGGGACTGAAGAGACACCATCTGGTGACAGCGTTAAATTGCGTCATGGCGGATCACGAGGAGGCTAATAAGGAGGAAGTCACGGGAGACGTGGAAGTGACGGAAGCGCAACCCGAAAAGGCCAAGGAGGAGAAGAAAGACCGTAAGGACCGGAAAGACCGAGACAAGGAAAGGGACAAGGACAGAGACAAAGACAGGGACAAAGACAGAGATAAGGAGAGAGAAAAAGACAGAGACAAGGATAAGGGTCGAGATCGGGACAAGGACCGCGATCGCGAGCGGGACAGGGACCGGGATCGTGACAGAGGACGAGACCGCGGGAGGGATAAGGATCGGGATAGAGACAAGGACAAGGGGAGAGATAAGGACAAGGAGCGGGAGAGGGGTTCGGACCGGGACCGCGATCGCGATCGCGACAAGAAACGCGACCGGAGTAGATCGCCGGAAGGCCGTTACCGTCGCAGCCGTCGCCTGGGCGGGTACTCGCCCAGGCGACGAGAAGGCGAGCATGGGAATCGCACACCGTCGCCAGGGTCGCGCTCCCGCAAGCAGCCGTCGCCGGAGAGGAGGAAGAAGCGCGGGTGGGATCAGGGGCCGGAAGGTGTGGACCCTGCGATCGCGTCGGTCATGGCACACGTGGCAGCCGCTCAGCAAATCGCCGCCACGCAGACCGCCGGCATGGGCTTTGGCGGAATGGGCGGGTTCGGCGGCATGGGGGGGATGGGGGGGATGGGGGGGATGGGGGGAATGAGTGGTATGAGCGCGATGCTGGATCCCGCGATGCTGGCGCAGCAGGTGGCGGCGGCGCAGCAGACCGCCGCGGCGATCACCGCAGCCGCGCAGGAGCAGCATCTCATCCCGCCAGCGCCCGCTGCGCAGTACGACGCGGGGGGTTTTGAGTCGTACCAGCAGCAGCACACCCCGCAACCGCTGGCGCCCGCGCAACCTTCCGCGCCGATGAACCCGGAGCTTGCGCAGCAGCTGCAGGAGGCGCAACAGAAGGCAGCGGCGGCGTTAGCCGCCGCAGCGCAGGGGATCCTTCCGCCGAGCCTCACTGGGGGAGCGCCCGGGGGGGGCGCGGAAGGCGCGGGGCTGCTGTCGCAGCCGGCGGGGGCGCCGGCGCCGTCGCTGGCGCAGCTGACGCGGCCGGCGCGGCGGCTGTACGTGGGGAACGTGGCGCCGCAAGTGACGGACAACGAGCTGCTGGAGTTCGTGAACGCGTCCATGGCGTCCATCGACGCCGCGGAGGACGGCCGCAAGCCCTGCATCGCCGTCACGGTTCGTACCGCGTTGGGGCTAGGGGTAGTCTGTTCTGTTGGGGTCGCGCTAGGGGTTGCGCTTGGGGCTGCGGTTTCTGCTTTGGGGTGCCGATCGTGTGCGCTGGGCTTGTGGCTTGTGGGTTGGGGTGGCGGTTAGTGTGTTGGGGCATGTATAGCCGCAGGTGACGGACAACGAGCTGTTGGAGTTTGTAAACGCGTCCATCGACGCCGCGGAGGACGGCCGCAAGCCCTGCATCGCCGTCACGGTTCATGCTGCGCTGGGGCTCGGGGTAGGCTGTTGGGGTTGCAGCTAGTGTGCTGGATTTCCAGTCCGTACTTTGTGGTTGTGGGTAGTGCTTCGGTCAGCACTTGATGGTTGTGGTTCGTGCTTATGGGTTAGGGTTGGCTATGACTTGTAAGCACTCCCCTCCCTCTTCCCCGCCCCCTCTCGCATTTACCCGTGTCCCCTCGTTATTTCCCGTGCCCCCGCTCACTTCGCCGCCCACCCGTGCATTTTCTCGTGCGCCGGCGCTCTACCTCTCCCCCCCCCCCCCACCCTCCCCCCCCCTCCCCTCCCCCCCCCCCCCCCCCCCCCCCCCCCCCCCCCCCCCCCCGTGCGCGTTTCCCCGCGCCTCTCGCGCTCTCCCGCTTCCCCCTCCGGCCTTCACCGCGCTTCCTATATGCGCAGTCGAACAAGGAGAAGGGGTTTGCGTTCGCGGAGTTTGAGAAGCCTGAGGACGCTACAACCGCGCTACAGCTGGACGGCATCGTGCTGCACGGTGTGGGGCTTAAGATCCGCCGCCCCAAGGACTACAACCCCATGCACGCGGTTAGTCAGATTGCTGTGTGCGTTGACCAGCATTGACCAGGCTACAACCGCGCTGCAGTGTGCTGCACGGCGTGGGGCTCAAGATCCGCCGCCCCTAAGGACTACAACCCCATGCACGCCGTGAGTGAGAGTGCTGTGTGCACGTGTTGTAAGGCGATTTTTCGCACCTCACGGAAAGGTGGTTGGTTGTAGCGCCGTTTCTCCTTTCATCCGTTTTCCAAATTTCTACCCTTCCTTCCCCTTTTCCCCCAAATCCTACCCCCGCTTTCTGTCCTTTTCAACGTATTTTGTCTTGCTCTTCTTCTTACACCCCCCCTCTCCCCCCCCTCCCCTCCTCCGTTCTCTCCCCCTCCCGCCTCCCTCCACCCCCCCATTCATTGTTTTCCGCAAAGAATCTGCCCAGTTCTGTCTATGGTAGCTAATCCTCCGCCTTCCTGCCTCCGCCCCCTCGCCCTTTCCTTCCGCTGCACCATTTACCCCGCTCTCCCTGCCACCATATGCAGCCCGGGTCAGACGCGAACGCCATAGCTCTCAGGGGAGGGGGCGTGCCCAGGCCCGTGGCAGCTGATCCTTCCCTCCCCAATTCTCTCTCCCCGCCACACCCACCCCCTGGCTCTGCCCTGCCGTTCCTGTTCCCCTCACACAGCCCGGGTCAGACGCGAACGCCATAGCCCTCGGGGGAGGGGCCGTGCCCAGGCCCGTGGCAGCGGCAGCAAAGGAGGTGATCACCAACGTTGTGCCGGACGGGCCGAATAAGGTGCGCTTGGATGGACGGTGGGGTGGCCTGGGGGTTGGATGAGGTGTGATGCGGCGCAAGGAGGGTCGCGAGTGGCAGCGGCAGCAAAGGAGGTGATCACCAACGTTGTGCCGGACGGGCCGAATAAGGTGCGCTTGGATGGACGGTGGGGTGGCCTGGGGGTTGGATGAGGTGTGATGCGGCGCAAGGAGGGTCGCGAGTGGCAGCTGCAGCAAAGGAGGTGATCACCAACGTTGTGCCGGACGGGCCGAATAAGGTGCGCGCTGGGGCTTGGGATGAGGTGGAGGGTGGGCGTGCGGGGGCTAGGGCTCGGACGAGGCGTGGGGTGGGGCACAGGGAGGGCCGAGAGTGGCAGCGGCAGCAAAGGAGGTGATCACCAACGTTGTGCCGGACGGGCCGAATAAGGTGCGCGCGAGCTTGGATTAGGTGTGAAACGGTGGTGGGTGTGGCATGTGGGGCATGGGGGAGGGTGGGTGCGCCAATGAGGTGTTGGGCGGGGTGGGTTAACAAATTCAGCTATCCTCAGGCGCTTCATCACTCATGTTATTTCCCTTCCTTACTGTCTTCTGCTTTGCGTGGTGGTGCATGCGATGGTGCGTGTGATGGTGCATGCGATGCTGCATGCGATTCTGCGTGCGATGGTGCATGTGATGCTGCATGTGATGGTGCATGTGATGGTGCATGCGATGGTGCATGTGATGCTGCACGTGATGCTGCACGTGATGGCGCATGTGATGGGGCATGTGATGGTGCATGTGATGGCGCATGTGATGGCGCATGTGATGGGGCATGTGATGGTGCATGTGTTTCTCTATGTGATGCTGCATGGTGTATGCAGTTGTTCATAGGCGGCATTCCCCCATCGCTAACAGATGAAAAGGTACACTGAAGCGCTATGGCACTCGCAGCATTGCAGCCTTTTCCTTTCCGTTTGGCCTCTCTGCATCCCTTGAATGCCTTTTTTTTTCTTCCACCACGTTCGAAGCTCTGTGCTCCATACTCCGCCATCTATTGATGCACCTCCATCTGTACCCCCCCATGTGCCTCGCTGTTCCCCTCTGTACCCCTCTGCACCGTGCTGATCAGATTCGGGAGGTGCTGTCAGCGTTTGGGCAGCTGAGGGCGTTCCGCAGGGAGCTGGATCTCAACGCCAAGCCCCCGCGCGCATTCGCGTTCACTGAGGTGAGTAGTTTGTACCCTAAACCTCCAAATGAGGTCGAGGAAACCCACACCACAGCGTCAGCGTGTGGGCGTTTGGGCAGCTGAGGGCGTTCCGCCGGGAGCTGGATCTCAACGCCAAGCCCCTGCGCGCATTCGCGTTCACTGAGGTCAGTCAGTCGCTCGTACCCGAAACCTCCATGTGGGTTTAAGCAAGCACCAGCATCTGGGCGCTTGGGCAGCTGAGGGCGTTCCGCAGGGAGCTGGATCTCAATGCCAAGCCCCCCTGCGCATTCGCATTCGCTGAGGTCAGCACCTGTGCTATTTCGCGTTTTCACGCACCAGCGCATTCGCGTTTGCTGGAGTCAAATTCCGTTGCACCCTAAACCCTGGACCATGAATTCCCTCCAAGCTCATGCGAGTGCGGCCCCAGCCCCCGCCACACCATCTCTTGCCCCACTTTCGCCTTCGCTTCGTTGTTTTTGAAGTAGATTCGAGCTCGTACTGATTCCAACTTTTCCCACCCTTCCCAAACCCACCCCCCCTTACACCCCCATCTCCCCCCCCTCTTTCCCCACCCTCACACGCAATGTTTTGACCCCACCCTCTTCTCGCATCCCGCCCCCAGCCCCTTCTCTTTCCCCTTTCACCTTGCTAGTCGTTTTTTTCTCTCACCTGCTGCTACATGGTGTTTACTCCCTCAACACCCCTTGTTCTGTGCCCTGTTAATGCATGTCCCGCTATTGTGTGACCCGTTACTGTGTGATCTGTTACTGCATGACCCGTTACCGCAGTACATGGATCCGAGTGTGACGAGTGCAGCACAGGCGGGGCTGAATGGGCTGCCTCTGGGCCACCAGGCCATCCTTACCGTCGTCAGAGCCACCCCCGACGCGCCCGAGGAGGTACGGTGCGGTTTTAAGGTTGTGATAAGGGCAATATGTTCTTGAAGCGAGTCAATACTAAACGGGCTGCCTCTGGGCCATCAGGCCATCCTCACCGTCGTCAGAGCCACTCCTGATGCACCTGAGGAGGTACGGTGCGATGCAGTTTACTCCTTCGACAGGAACAATATGCACCCGAAGAGCTTTGTGGGGACGGGGAGCTCTTCTGGAAATTGCACCGTGCTGTTGCCCACACTCTGTGATTGTTGTTCTGAGAAATAGTAGCTGACTGAGAATAACAGCCGCTCAATCTCACTGTATACGTCTGCCAAATCCTTCCTCTTTCTCCACCCGCCCCCGCCTTCTTCCGCCTCTTCCCCTCTTGCTTTCTGCTGCCTCCTGCTGACGCCACGCCCACCTACTCCATTCCCGAGGAGGCCAAACCGCTCACCGTTGCAGGAATCCGTATTCCAAATCTTCACCCTCTCCATACCACCCCCCTCTTTGCCCTTCCCCTCCTTGTTCTTTCTGCAGCCCCCTGCTGACGCCACGCCCACCTACTCCATTCCCGAGGAGGCCAAACCGCTCATGCAGACCCCAACACGCATTCTGGAGATCTGTAACCTGGTGCGTTGCTTGTAACCCTTAGTTGTAACCCACTGCGTTGGTTGTAACTGGTAGTTGTAACCTAGTGCGTTTGGTTTAACCTGGATGCTGGTCGTAATTGTCAATTGTACCCTGGTGTTAGTTGAATGACCTACTGCGTCAGCTGTAACCTTAAATTGCAATCTAGAATGTTAGATGTAACCATCAACTGCTAGTTGCAACCATCAGTTGTAAGGCTAGGTATTGCCTGGTGCATTCATTGCAATCTGGTATGTGTGGTGCATTGAAGGTGCGTTTACTGTTACCTGGAGGAAGACAATTGCCACGAGTGCTGACAGCAGTTGCAATCCACTCCCCTCCACACACACGCACCCACAACACATACACACACACTCCCCCTTTTCCTCTCCACCCCCTCCCACCTTGCCTATGCACACCCGTGCAGATGACAAAGAAGGAGCTCAAGGCGATGAGCGAGGAGGAGTTTGAGGACCTAGAGGAGGACATTCGCCTTGAGTGCAAGCGGTGTGTGCTGAGAGCATTGGGCTGTGGTGGGGTGTGATGCGGTGTGATGTGGTGTGGTGCGGTGTGGTGTGGTTCGGTGTGATGTGGTGTGGTCCTTGAAGACATGGAGGAGGACATGCCTCTAGTGCTCTTCAGCTTTTGACAGATTACTCTTTTATCACTTTCACTTGCATGCCTGTTTGCACGCATGTATGCCTGTCTGCGCGCCTGTGTGCAAGACTCAGTCTGATTTTTGTGTGTGCAATACTCGGTCTGATTTTTTGTGTGTGGAATTTTGTACGTTTGCATTGGCAGGTTTGGCACCGTGAAATCGCTGCACATTGTTCGACCGAAGGATGTCACCAATCCCGATGATAGCGGCAGTGACAGCGATGAGGAGGAGGAGAAAGCAGAGGTGAAGGAAGAGGTGAAGGAGAAATTGGAAGGGATCAAAGAGGAGGAAGAGGAGGAGGGCAAGGACGAGGGGAAGACGGAGGTCAAGGGCGAAGGGAAAGTGGAGGTGAAGGAGGAAGTGAAGGAGGTGAAGCAGGAAGAGGAGGAAGTGAAGGAAGAGAAGAAGGAAGGGGAGAAGAAAGAGGGAGCGCAGGGAGCAGCAGCAGGCGATGCGGTTAAGGAAGTGAAAGAGGAAACCGGGGAACAGGAGAAGGATGCTGAGAAGGGGGACGATCAGGGTGGGGGTGATGGGGAAATGAAGGAGGGTAAAAAGGAGGAGGAGAGTAAGGATGAGGAAATGAAGGAGGCTGATGCAGTGGTGGGTGAAGAGGCAGTGGAGGCTGCTGCGGAGAAGGTGGAAGGAGCAGCAGAGGGAGGTGCAGCAGCAGAAGGGGAGGATGATGATGTGAAGGAGGTGGTTAATGATGAGGAGGGCGGAGAGGAGGGAGGAGCGAAGGAGGGGGGAGAGAAGGAGGGAGCAGAAAAGGAGGGAGGGGATGAGGAGATGAAAGAAACAGAGGAGGAGGCTGAGGGCAAGGGTGAAGGGAAGGCAGAGGAGGAGGGTGGGGAGGGCGCAGATGCGGCAGGAGAGCCTGTGGTTGAGGAGGTTGAGGTGGCTCGAGCCGCGGAGGAGGGTGGGAAAGGCGCAGCAGGAGAGCCTGTGGTCGAAGTAGCTCGAGCAGAGGAGGAAGGTAGTGACTCGGATAGTGATGTGGTGGAGGTAGTGCCAGAGACACGAGGGGAGGTAGAGAAGGGAGAGAAGGAAGAGGAGGAGAAGGGGGAGGAAGAGGTGGAGGAGGTGCAGGGCGGTGTGTGTGCGTCTGACAAGAGTGGTGAGGGGGAAGGTCAGGCGTTGGATGGGTTGGCAGATATTGCTGCTGCTGCCGCTGCTGAGACGGCAGGGGTCAAGGAGGAGGGAGGTGCTGAGGCAAAAGAATCTGAGGGTGGGGGAGGGTTTGCCCTTGATCTGAATGTGACTGTAGAGGGGGAGGAGGACGGTGGGAAGGGTGGAGGTGGGGAGGGAGGGGCGAAGGAGGAGGCGGAAGGGGGGAAGGAAGAGGCGGAAGGGGCTAAGGAGGAGGTGTATGAGACGGCCTCAGAGGATGAAGGGGAGAAGGGAGAGGGAGGGGCGGAGGCTAAGGCGGAGGAGGGTGCAGAGGCGAAGGAGGGTGAAGGGAAGGAAGGGAGTGGGAAGGAGGGAGAGGGTGAGGGGAAGGAGGGAGCTACAGGAAAGGTGGATGGCGAGGGAGAGGCGGCAGGAAACACAGAGGCAGCGGAGGGCAAGCAGCAGGAGGTGGAAGTGGAGGAGGGTAAAGGGGAGGAGGAGAAGGTGGAAGGGAAGCAGGAGGCGGTCACAGTGGAGGGCAAGCAGGGCACAGCAGAAGAAGCAGCAGCGGTTGTAGCAGAGGGAGCAGCAGAAGAGGGCAAGGAGGGCAGGGAGGGCAAGGGAAGTGAGGAGAGCAAGCCGGAATTAGCTGCAGCAGCAGCACCTTCCCCTGCTGCTGCCACAGCCCCTGCTGCTACTCCTATTCCCACTGGAGCCACACCCGCTGCTGCCACTGCTGTCCCCATACAACCCCCTGGAGTCCCAATGGCCTTCCCTGTGCCTGTGCGCATGCCTGCTCCTGGGCCCCCCATGCCTCTCATCCCAGGAGTCACCTTCCCCGCGCCCTTCCGCCCCGCAATCCTCGTCCCCCCAGGCACAGATGTACCTCCCCCAGGTGTCGCCACCCCAGCTGCTACTCTTGCTGCGCCAGGTTCTATCCGCTTCCCTGCCCCATTTGCCCCTGGTGCTCCGCCCCCTGCCGCTGGCAAGGGGTTGCTAGGGCACCAGCCAGGACAGGTGGGAAAGCCTGGAGAAGCAGGTAAGCCAGGGCAACCGGGGGCTATTGTGCTGGCTGGGTCTAAAGGGATGGGGGATTTGGTGGATGCAGCACGGAGGGGAGAGAGGGAGGTGGAGAAGTGGAGGGTTGGGCGGGCGTATGTGGAGTTTTCGCGAGAGGAGAGTGCGAGTCGGGCGGCGCATATGTTGCATGGCAGGGTGTATGCGGGGAGGAAGGTGACATGCTCGTTTGTGCCGCTGAGGGTGTATCAGAAGAAGTTTAACAAGGGGTTGAAGCCGCGCACGCACGAGGAGAAACAGGAGGCTGCGTTGGCTGTGCAGGCGCATTTGACGTCCCACTTGCCTGATGACTTTTAGAGAATGTGATTTGTGTGCTTGTTTGTAGATGCCTGTGTCTGATGAGATCTCTCTATGAGTGCTCTGTTTTAACATCAGCCGTCTTGACGGCACAGGCTTGCTCATTCTTATGAACATTGTGGTGATTGGATATACCAGTGTGTGCTTTTCAGTTCTCTTAATGGAAACGAATATGGTTTTAAAGGATGTGCTACAGTGAATTCAACCATTGTCAAACATGGCAAGCAGAATGCAACCCCTGGATCTCCGCAGATAACCGTCTCGAAATGTTTTGGTTTGCCCGAGCACTTCCGATACTATTCAGTGCAATTACCGATTGGCTCATTGTGCAAATCTGGGCACTTAGCTGTGTGGCGCTGGATTTCTGGTCTGCCACGCTAGCGGTTTACAAAGGCGCCTCCCAGCCGGGTAGCCTTTGGCGATTGTCCGACGTGGCCGCGGTGGCCACCAGCCGCAATTGCCGAATCCGCCCTCTCCCCCCTTCGCTCTTCGCTCTGCACCGCACCCCCCCGTTCAGCTGATTTAGGCGTCCAGCGGACCCCCCTTCTCTGCGGAAGGAGGGTGGACAATCTTGGCGCATATCCCCCGCATTCCCCCCAAGCCACGAATCCTGCAATCTGACTTTCCGCAGCCCCACTGGCTACAGAGGTGACGTCACGTCACGTCCTTCTGCTCTCCGCTCCATCGCCTCCCTCCCCCTCTCGGCAACTCCTATAATCTCATCGTAGCCCATTGCATTTTATCTTTGGATGTCAGGCTAGGTTTCGTTTCTTGGTTCTAAACTCTCAGGAACATAAGCCATGGCTTACCCCCTGATTGCGTTGTTGGTGGCCTCGCTGGCCGTTCAGGCTTCTGCGTCTGCACAGCAAGCCGCAGATGGCTGCATCACGAACTTCGATCCCACTGTGAACTATTTCCCGGACCAGTACCAGGATGAGCCATTCGCTCTGCCTATCAGCCAGACTATCGTGGAGAAAGCGAATGACTTCACTGTGCAGTACGGTAACTATTACAAGGTCGTTAAGAACAGCTACGATGATACCACCTACGTCCTCTATCAGGTACATCCCATTCTCAGCTTCAGATCTGGATACACAATGCGGTCATGCTCGCAATCTGTGAATCTGTCCTGAGTCTAACTTCACCATTTGGCTTGCGTTTATTGTGTTTATTGTAGTGTGGAGCTACCAAGCCCACGAACTTCCCTGCAACCACCCGGTTCTTTGAGATTCCCCTGAAGGGTTTCTCCGTCGACTCTTCCGTTGCAGGTGGGACTGTATTTCGCGTTTTTTTTGTGCTTTAATTTTCTTTCTCCAGATTTCGTCTGACTAACTTGTCACAATGCTCTTCTTATTATGCTGTGATTGTGTGTATGCTTTCGTCGAACGTTCTGCTTATGGATCGTTCAGTTAGCTTTGTCCAGGTAATTTTCTTGAAAGATCGAATATGCTGTAGCGTTTCAGCCGCATGGATGTAGATTTTCAACTAGCGGTCCCACTAAGTATTGTCCTGGCCTCACCCGCAGATGCTGGGCGTGACCAGCCTTCTCAACGAGACGAGCAGCTACTCTGTAGCTCCATGCGTTCAGAAGCTCGTGGCTGACGGTGCCATGAAGGTTTTCAATGAGAGCGACGGTCTTTTCCCTGGTGCGGTTTTCACCGGAATGAACACCCTGAAGCCATTCCCCAAGAACTATGTCTCGCTGGACACGTCGACCGACCCTGGGCCTCTCAAGGTGCGCGTGAAGGGAATGTCCTCTGTTTCATGTCAAGTTTATCTGTCCATGTAACAGTTCTAATCTGAAGCTATGATACGGTTCTCTTGTCTTCCAGCGCGCGGAATGGATCAAGTACATGGCTCTGTGGTTCAATGCTGAGTCGCGCGCGTCGCAAGTCTACTCTGACGTAAGTAGTCATTTTCGAGCTGTTGAGTTTGCTGGCCATCAGAAAAACTGTGGTCCAAAGTTACAAACGCTTAAGGAACCTTTCTGCCTTGATTCACCTTTTTCCAGATTGAGACGTCGTACAACTGCTTGAAGGCATCTGCCCCTAAAACCACCACGCCAGTGGTTGGCTGGCTGAGCTATTTTATGGTGAGTCCGAAAGAGGGGAAGAAATGTTCTCAGAAAGTGCAAAACAGCTGTTATGGATGTTAACTTGCCTGTTGTTTGTATGTGCGCCTTTTGTTTTCCCTACCAGGATTCGTGGACCGTCTCTGGTGCTACGTACAAGCTTCAGGTGTGTGTTAGCTCTCTACCAATTGGAGTGCTCGCTGCGTGTATGACTTGGTGTGAACGAACTCTAACGTGCAATATGTTTCTTTCAGTACGTTGCGGACGCTGGTGGTGTGAGCCCCGCCAAGGCGTTTCTGAGGACGTACAACATGTCTCTTCCATCTGATAAGAAGGCTTTCCAGACACTGCTTGCGGTAGGGATTTCACGCGTCGCTATGCCTGGTTCTGCATGAAGTCATTCACTAACTTTTGTGCTGAACGATCTGGAAAAATTGGTTGCAATGGCAGACTCTGGACATCGTCATTGACGAGACCTATCTGATGACTGGCCCGTCAGGCTACAGCATTGATGCGTTTGCCCTGAACGCTGGCATCTCTGTCACTGATACCGCCACTTACAAGTTCTTAGCGACTCCGAATGTCTGGAGCATGTATGGCCGCGCCACTGGAGCTCCCAACTACGCCACTGGTACGCATATGGTTTCCATCCTTGGCAACATAGGTTATGTCCCCTCTTCGCATTTGGAGCATTTGTTTCTTAATAACCTTGCTCTTATCTCACTGCCTCCTGTGCAGACTGGTATGAAAGCGCCATTGCTCAGCCCCAGGTGGTCCTTGCTGAGCTGATCTCGATCATGCATCCTGGCGACGTGGCCGTTCCCGAGAAGTACTATTTCTACAATGTTGCTCAGGTATGTTTCCTACCCCACTTCTCCTGGCCAGTGTTTGATTCAAAAGCCCTTCAACAATAGTGTGACTATGTCCAACATGTTAACTAGCTTTTCTGGTGTTGCGTTTGCAGTTGGAGACGGGTGCTGTGGTCTCTGCAGCCAACTGCACAACCCTGGACCCCACGGAGGTGGTTAACCCCATCATCCCTGCCTGCTCAGCCACCATTACTCCTGAGGTTCCAGGAACGGCATCCCCTCCTGCTACCCCTCCTAGCTCATCCCCTCCTAGCTCACCCCCTCCCAGCTCACCCCCTCCCAGCTCGCCCCCACCTGCCCCCAAGGCTGCTGCATCCTCTGGCTCCCTGCTTGGCGCTGGTCTAGCTGCCCTTCTTGCTGCTACTATTGCAGCATTGGTCTAGAGGTATCCATTCTGGATGTATCCTGGTTGGCTTCCGTATTGAGAGCTGTCTTCAAAGACATGCCCTTGTAGTAAGCGCCAAATGATTGAAAATCCGCTTGATGGTTGGGTTGGAGCTTGTGTCTGAGAATTGTCACATGGATTGTTGGATTCCATACTGTAGTACCTTGAAAATCCGCTAGATGGCTGATTATAATTGTTTACGAATTTGAGAATGTTTGCTTGTAGCAAGTGTCATCTTTCTCTTTATGTTCTCATCTCAAGACAGCGACGGATGAACCGTACGGGCTGGACCTGCCCTAAGGGTTGATTCTTCCCGAAATTTGTCCAGGTTATCTTCTGGTTATATATTTATGTTTTTACCAGGGGTATGTGTGAGTGAGTTGCTGTTCATATTTGTTTTGTGGCTGTGTAGGAGAACATGCCAGAACTCCTAGTCACTACATCGTAAAACAGTGTTTTTGTTGGTTGAGTACAGTTGCAAACCCGCACAGGCAATCTGAGCCTGGATGATATTGGCCCACTGTAGTATGCTCTGTGGCACTGGATTGCTTGTCGGCCACGTTAGCGGTGTCCTATGGCTCTTCCCCAGCCAGGGGGCTTTTGCCGATTGTCCGACGTGGCCGCGGCTGGCACCAGCCGCAATGCATGCGCTCCTTATACTGTAGAGTAAAACCTTCGCTTCGACCTCCGCTATGCTGTTAGCGGCCAACACACCCCTCCTCCTCCGAGGAGGAGGGTGGATTGGATTTTTTTTTGCGCATTCCCCGCATTCCCCCCCCCCCTCCTCGCCTCCCCCCCTCCCAGCCACGACTCCTGCACGCTGACGTCGCGTCCTTCTGCTCGGCGCTCCTTCGCCTCCCTCTTCATAATCCCACCTCATCCCCCAAAATGTCTATTTCATTATTTGTGTCTGGCCGGGCTTTCTTTCAGGAAGACAAGCCATGGCTTACCCACTGATCGCGTTGTTGGTGGCTTCGCTGGCCGTTCAGGCTTCGTCTGCACAGCAAGCTCAGGATGGCTGCATCACGAACTTCGATCCCACCGTGAACTATTTCCCGGACCAGTACCAGGACGAGCCGTTCGCTCTGCCGATCAGCCAGACTATCGTGGAGACTGCGAATGACTTCACGGTGCAGTACGGTAACTACTACAAGGTCGTTAAGGACAGCTATGATAACACTACCTACGTCCTCTATCAGGTACATCCCAATCTCAGCTCCAGATCTGGAAGCACATTGTGGTCGTGTTCACTACTCCGGGATGCGTCCTTGTGTATCCCTTTATGCTCGTGTTCACTACTCCGGTATTATCTGTATAGCTTGAGTCAGTGTGGAGCTGTTAAGCCCTCAAACTCTGCTCCAGATCAGCACATTGCGGTCGTGTTCACTGCTCCTGGATGCGTCCTGACGTGTTGTTGTTATCTGTATTGCCTTGGTCAGTGTGGAGCTGTTAAGCCCTCAAACTCAGCTCCAGATCAGCACATTGCGGTCGTGTTCACTGCTCCTGGATGCGTCCTGACTTAGTGTGTTATTGTCGGTTTGCCTGTGTCAGTGTGGAGCTGTTAAGCCCTCAAACTCAGCTCCAGATCAGCACATTGCGGTCGTGTTCACTGCTCCTGGATGCGTCCTGACTTAGTGTGTTATTGTCGGTTTGCCTGTGTCAGTGTGGAGCTGTTAAGCCCTCAAACTTTCCTGCTGCCACCACCCGGTTCTTTGAGATTCCCCTGAAGGGTTTTGCCGTCGACTCGACCGTTGCAGGTGGGACACTATTTCGCTTTGTTTTATGCACTCTCGCTCCAAACATCATTTGCCTACCTCGTCGTGGCAGTGCTCTAACTTGTCTGCTGTGATTGTGGCATGTTGGCTTCCTTCAAACCGTTCTGCTTATGGAACGTTCAGTTAGCTTCGTCCAGGTAACTATCCCTATTCCCAATAATTCGGTAGCATCCAAGCCGCATGCATGGTATCAATATTCATCTAGCAATGTTGCGTTTTCACTAAACAGTCACTGAGCACTTCGTTCTGACCTCACCCGCAGATGCTTGGTGTGACCAGCCTTCTCAAAGAGACGAGCAGCTACACTGTAGCTCCATGCGTTCAGAAGCTTTTGGCGGACGGTGCCATGAAGGTCTTCAATGAGAGCGACGGCCTGTTCTCTGGTTCGGTTTTTGCCGGATTGAACAACCTGAAGCCATTTCCCATGAACTTTATCTCGATGGACACGTCGACCGACCCTGGGCCTCTCAAGGTGAACATAAAGCATTCATTGTTTTTGGCCTGCATATTTCAGAGGATCCTCTGTTCTTATGTCAATTCAATCATTTAGGTTACGGCCCTAATCCGGCGTTATCCGTCTTTCAGCGCGCGGAGTGGATCAAGTACATGGCTCTGTGGTTCAATGCTGAGTCGCGCGCGTCGCAAGTCTACTCTGACGTAAGCCGTCTGTTTATTTCGAAGCTGTTGAGTTCATTGGCGATCAGATAAAACCTGGCTCAAATGCTTAAAGGAACTTTTCTGCCTTGTCTTGCCTTACCTGTCTGGCTTTTCCAGATTGAGACATCATACAACTGTTTGAAAGCATCTGCTCCCAAAACCTCCACACCTATGGTTGGCTGGATGGGCTATTACATGGTGGGTCCGAAACAGTGGGGAAATGTTATCAGAGAGTATATTACAGCTTTTCTGGATGCTAACTTACCTGTTTTATGTTTTCCCTAACAGGGTTCGTGGTCCGTCTCTGGTTCTACCTACAAGATTCAGGTGCGTCTTGACTATCTGCGCAAGTGCAGTGCTCTCGCTTTATGTATAACTTCATATGAACAAACTGTAACGTGCAATTCGATTCTTTCAGTACGTTGCGGACGCTGGTGGTGTGAGCCCACCTAAGGCGTATCTCAGGATCTACAACATGTCTCTTCCATCTGATAAGAAGTCCTTCCAGTCTCTGCTTGCGGTAAGACATCTTCGCTTCGCTATGGCTAATAATCCTGGAATTCAGTCACGGATATCTGAGCTGAACAATTGGACAATCCTTGTCGCAATGGCAGACTCTTGACATCGTCATTGACGAGACCTACCTGTTGACTGGCCCGTCAGACTACAGCATTGATGTCTTTGCAAAGAATGCTGGCATTTCTGTGACTGACACTGCCACCTACAAATTCCTGGCCACTCCCAATGTCTGGAGCATGTATGGCCGCGCCACTGGAGCTCCCAACTATGCCACTGGTATGCAATTGAGGTTATGTCCCTTCACATTTGGAACCATCCTTTTCTTACCAGTACTAACCTTGGTCTTATCTGACCATCTCATGTACAGACTGGTATGAGAGCGCCATTGCTCAGCCCCAGGTGGTCCTTGCCGATCTGATCTCCATCATGCATCCTGGCGATGTGCCTGCTCCCAAAAAGTATTTTTTCAACAATATTGCTCAGGTGTGTATCGTGTCACCCTCAGCCTTTTCTGGCAAATCTTTGATCCAAATACCGTTTTCCAATTTTGTCAACAGTAAGTGTAACTATGTGCAACATGCTAACTAGCACTTGTGGTGTTGCTTTTGCAGTTGGAGACGGGTGCGGTGGTCTCTGCAGCCAACTGCACAACCCTGGACCCCACGGAGGTGGTTAACCCCATCATCCCTGCCTGCTCAGCCACCATTACTCCTGAGGTTCCAGGAACGGCAACTGCTCCTGCTACCCCTCCCAGCTCATCCCCTCCTAGCTCACCCCCTCCTAGCCCCACTCCCAGCTCGCCCCCACCTGCCCCCAAGGCTGCTGCATCCTCTGGCTCCCTGCTTGGCGCTGGACTAGCTGCCCTTCTTGCTGCTACCATTGCTGCACTGGCCTAAAGATCTCAGTCTGGATGTAACCAGTTTGGCTTCCATGTTGACTTGACAGTTTCCTCCAGGGTGATAGATATGCTGCTTGCAAGTGCCACGGCTGGAATCCTGCTGGATTGCTGGAGCTTGTTTTTGTGAATGATGACCTAAGACATGGATCGTTGTATCCTGCAGTACTTGATAATTGAAATTAAGATTCCGATTTACAGATGCAAACAAGCGAGCACTTGCCATGCCACCAAGAAGCCATCTTGAAGGAAGACTGTATCTTATATGTTTACTGGTGCAAGTACAACCAGCTGGGCTACAAATATCACGATAATTGCACAGATATGTTGGTTGTGTACAAGGATGTGTAACAGCTCCCACCAAACGGACGCGTACGTCATCATAAGCTGCATATGTCGCCCTTTTACACGCCATTGAGCACGTGACACAGAGTAGCTGCCAGCTGTCTGACTGTGACTGGCTTGAGCAATACAGCATCCATGCCAGCTGCTACACATGCCTCCGCCATGCCGCTGTCCGTGCGTGCAGTGAGACCCACAATCAGAGGCCGCTCGTCAGGCCTGCCATTGGACAGGAAAGGAACATTAGAGGGGAGTCGTCCGTAGAAATGAGGCACATAAGCGAGGTTGGCTTGCAATTGGAGGTTGGGAAAGAGGAGAAGGCTAAAGCGACTAGCGGAGGCGCGTCAGGTGCGCGGTGGGCTGGAAGACAACTGAAAATCTGTCCTGAATTCTCCAGGTACCCAATCCCAGGGGACAGTACAGAAGGACGACGGGCATGCGGAAGATAAAACAGAACACCATTGCTGTCAAGCATGAAGGCCACTCTTAATAAGTCACCGTCAAAACTACCAGCACAATGATCGCACATTCTCCTGAAACTCTCTAAACTAGATACCCAAGAGGAGGGGGCTGCAAGAGAGCATACCGGAAGAGGCAGGGTATGCGGTGGCAACCTCAAATCCATCAACGTCCGGCGTGCAGACATCCAGCAGCACGACATCCACCGGCAAAGGGGTGAAAGGGGCGAAAGGGGTGAAAGGGGCGACTGCAAGAGAGCCTACCGGAAGAGGCAGCGGAAGAGAACGCACCGGAAGAGGGAGTGAATGCGGCGGGCGACTTCAAAGCCGTCAACGTCTGGCATGCAGACATCCAGCAGCACGACATCCACTGGCGGGACTGCAGGGCTCTTGCGTGTGGTCAGCTCCATCTGGCACTCCTGCGCACTGCCCACGCTGCTGACGTGGCACCGCAGCGTCAGCAGCATCTGATGTGTCGCGATGCGATTTGCCACATTGTCCTCCACTAGCTGAGGGAGAGGAGCGGAGGAGGGAGGGAAGAGGAAGGAACGTGTTAGGGAAAGCGGGACGGAAATCAGGGATGGAAGTGGGCAACGGAAGGGAGAGAGTGAAGGAAGGAGGGTGTTAGAGAGGGGGAGGAGAGGGGGGGACAGTGTGACGAGGGGGAAAAGGGCCACAAGTGAGGACATACATGCATACATCCAATCACACATCCATGCACTCACCAGCACATGCACTCACCAGCACATGCACTCACCAGCACATGCACTCACCAGCACATGCACTCACCAGCACATGCACTCACCAGCACATGCACTCACCAGCACATGCACTCACCAGCACATGCACTCACCAGCACATGCACTCACCAGCACATGCACTCACCAGCACATGCACTCACCAGCACATGCACTCACCAGCACATGCACTCACCAGCACATGCACTCACCAGCACATGCACTCACCAGCACATGCACTCACCAGCACATGCACTCACCAGCACATGCACTCACCAGCACATGCACTCACCAGCACATGCACTCACCAGCACATGCACTCACCAGCACATGCACTCACCAGCACATGCACTCACCAGCACATGCACTCACCAGCACATGCACTCACCAGGCACATGCACTCACCAGCACATGCACTCACCAGCACATGCACTCACCAGCACATGCACTCACCAGCACATGCACTCACCAGCACATGCACTCACCAGCACATGCACTCACCAGCACATGCACTCACCAGCACATGCACTCACCAGCACATGCACTCACCAGCACATGCACTACCAGCACATGCACTCACCGGCACTCACCAGCACATGCACTCACCAGCACATGCACTCACCAGCACATGCACTCACCAGCACATGCACTCACCAGCACATGCACTCACCAGGCACATGCACTCACCAGCACATGCACTCACCAGCACATGCACTCACCAGCACATGCACTCACCAGCACATGCACTCACCAGCACATGCACTCACCAGCAACATGCACTCACCAGCACATGCACTCACCAGCACATGCACTCACCAGCACATGCACTCACCAGCACATGCACTCACCAGCACATGCACTCACCAGCACATGCACTCACCAGCACATGCACTCACCAGCACATGCACTCACCAGCACATGCACTCACCAGCACATGCACTCACCAGCACATGCACTCACCAGCACATGCACTCACCAGCACATGCACTCACCAGCACATGCACTCACCAGCACATGCACTCACCAGCACATGCACTCACCAGCACATGCACTCACCAGCACATGCACTCACCAGGCACATGCACTCACCAGCACATGCACTCACCAGCACATGCACTCACCAGCACATGCACTCACCAGCACATGCACTCACCAGCACATGCACTCACCAGCACATGCACTCACCAGCACATGCACTCACCAGCACATGCACTCACCAAGCACCATGCACTCACCAGCACATGCACTCACAGCACATGCACTCACCAGCACATGCACTCACCAGCACATGCACTCACCGCACATGCACTCACCAGCACATGCACTCACCAGCACATGCACTCACCAGCACATGCACTCACCAGCACATGCACTCACCAGCACACTGCACTCACCAGCACATGCACTCACCAGCACATGCACTCACCAGCACATGCACTCACAGCACATGCACATGCACTCACCAGCACATGCACTCACCAGCACATGCACTCACCAGCACATGCACTCACCAGCACATGCACTCACCAGCACATGCACTCACCAGCACATGCACTCACCAGCACATGCACTCACCAGCACATGCACTCACCAGCACATGCACTCACCAGCACATGCACTCACAGCACATGCACTCACCAGCACATGCACTCACCAGCACATGCACTCACCAGCACATGCACTCACCAGCACATGCACTCACCAGCACATGCACTCACCAGCACATGCACTCACCAGCACATGCACTCACCAGCACATGCACTCACCAGCACATGCACTCACCAGCACATGCACTCACCAGCACATGCACTCACCAGCACATGCACTCACCAGCACATGCACTCACCAGCACATGCACTCACCAAGCACATGCACTCCCAGCACATGCACTCACCAGCACATGCACTCACCAGCACATGCACTCACCAGCACATGCACTCACCAGCACATGCACTCACCAGCACATGCACTCACCCAGCACATGCACTCACCAGCACATGCACTCACAGCAACATGCACTCACCAGCACATGCACTCACCAGCACATGCCACTCACCAGCACATGCACTCACCAGCACATGCACTCACCAGCACATGCACTCACCAGCACATGCACTCACCAGGCACATGCACTCACCAGCACATGCACTCACCAGCACATGCACTCACCAGCACATGCCACTCACCAGCACATGCACTCACCAGCACATGCACTCACCAGCACATGCACTCACCAGCACATGCACTCACAGCACATGCACTCACCAGCACATGCATCTCACCAGCACATGCACTCACCAGCACATGCACTCACCAGCACATGCACTCACCAGCCACATGCACTCAACCAGCACATGCACTCACCAGGCTACATTGCACTCACCAGCACATGCACTCACTTCCAGCACATGCACTCACCAGCACATGCACTCACCAGCACATGCACTCACCAGCACATGCACTCACCAGCACATGCACTCACCAGCACATGCACTCACCAGCACATGCACTCACCAGCACATGCACTCACCAGCACATGCACTCACCAGCACATGCACTCACCAGCACATGCACTCACCAGCACATGCACTCACCAGCACATGCACTCACCAGCACATGCACTCACCAGCACATGCACTCACCAGCACATGCACTCACCAGCACATGCACTCACCAGCACATGCACTCACCAGCACATGCACTCACCAGCACATGCACTCACCAGCACATGCACTCACCAGCACATGCACTCACCAGCACATGCACTCACCAGCACATGCACTCACCAGCACATGCACTCACCAGCACATGCACTCACCAGCACATGCACTCACCAGCACATGCACTCACCAGCACATGCACTCACCAGCACATGCACTCACCAGCACATGCACTCACAGCACATGCACTCACCAGCACATGCACTCACCAGCACATGCACTCACCAGCACATGCACTCCACCAGCACATGCACTCACCAGCACATGCACTCACCAGCACATGCACTCACCAGCACATGCACTCACCAGCACATGCACTCACCAGCACATGCACTCACCAGCACATGCACTCACCAGCACATGCACTCACCAGCACATGCACTCACCAGCACATGCACTCACCAGCACATGCACTCACCAGCACATGCACTCACCAGCACATGCACTCACCAGCACATGCACTCACCAGCACAATGCACTCACCAGCACATGCACTCACCAGCACATGCACTCACCAGCACATGCACTCACCAGCACATGCACTCACCAGCACATGCACTCACCAGCACATGCACTCACCAGCACATGCACTCACCAGCACATGCACTCACCAGCACATGCACTCACCAGCACATGCACTCACCAGCAACATGCACTCACCAGCACATGCACTCACCAGCACATGCACTCACCAGCACATGCACTCACCAGCACATGCACTCACCAGCACATGCACTCACCAGCACATGCACTCACCAGCACATGCACTCACCAGCACATGCACTCACCAGCACATGCACTCACCAGCACATGCACTCACCAGCACATGCACTCACCAGCACATGCACTCACCAGCACATGCACTCACCAGCACATGCACTCACCAGCACATGCACTCACCAGCACATGCACTCACCAGCACATGCACTCACCAGCACATGCACTCACCAGCACATGCACTCACCAGCACATGCACTCACCAGCACATGCACTCACCAGCACATGCACTCACCAGCACATGCACTCACCAGCACATGCACTCACCAGCACATGCACTCACCAGCACATGCACTCACCAGCACATGCACTCACCAGCACATGCACTCACCAGCACATGCACTCACCAGCACATGCACTCACCAGCACATGCACTCACCAGCACATGCACTCACCAGCACATGCACTCACCAGCACATGCACTCACCAGCACATGCACTCACCAGCACATGCACTCACCAGCACATGCACTCACCAGCACATGCACTCACCAGCACATGCACTCACCAGCACATGCACTCACCAGCACATGCACTCACCAGCACATGCCTCACACAGCACATGCACTCACCAGCACATGCACTCACCAGCACATGCACTCACCAGCACATGCACTCACCAGCACATGCACTCACCAGCACATGCACTCACCAGCACATGCACTCACCAGCACATGCACTCAACCAGCACATGCACTCACCAGCACATGCACTCACCAGCACATGCACGTCACATCCATGCACTCACCAGCACATGCACTCACCAGCACATGCACTCACCAGCACATGCACTCACCAGCACATGCACTCACCAGCACATGCACTCACCAGCACATGCACTCACCAGCACATGCACTCCACCAGCACATGCACTCACCAGCACATGCAGCTCACCAGCACATGCACTCACCAGCACATGCACTCACCAGCACATGCACTCACCAGCACATGCACTCACCAGCACTGCACTCACCAGCACATGCACTCACCAGCACATGCCACTCACCAGCACATGCACTCACCAGCACATGCACTCACCAGCACATGCACTCACCAGCACATGCACTCACCAGCACATGCACTCACCAGCACATGCACTCACCGCACATGCACTCACCAGCACATGCACTCACCAGCACATGCACTCACCAGCACATGCACTCACCAGCACATGCACTCACAGCACATGCACTCACAGCACATGCACTCACAGCACATGCACTCACCAGCACATGCACTCACCAGCACATGCACTCACCAAGCACATGCACTCACC